TTTAAAAAAATTTTTTACAGCATTTACCCTTATTTGTTAGAATAACTGTTTTATCAACTCGTGGCCAGAGCTTTTCTAACAAAAAAATTTTTTGAAAATCATGAATCAAAGTTTCAAACCAACTCTGCTTGTGGCCCAAACATATCACGACTTTCCGCCTTTCAAAAAAAATTAGGAAGCCAAAGGAAAAGCTCTGTTCTAAATTATCAATCTGTCCCCAATCGGTGCCTTATTAAGCCTGTCGCCTGACTGCATTCCAAAAAAAAATTTTTCTTAACGCCGCAAAACGCATGCAAAAAACATAAATTTACTCAATACATTTTTAATTAGGATACCGTATTTTCTTGACCAACTGGGTACTGGCAATTATTCGAGTTTTGAATATGTGGTAGGGCGTTTGAGAAGAGGAGGGCAATAATTGTTTATTAATCGTGTTCATTAATCGAGGGAGGCTGATTAATATTGCACATTTTTAATTAACTAACCACGAGTTACTTATAAAGGCAGCCCTTCTACATACATACAGCCCTCTTCAGTTTCCCTCAATTAATTCAAGTTAAAAAATTTCAAACCCAACTACTTATGTCTTAATTAAATTTTAAAAGAAAATTAGTGCAAATACCTTTACTTTTAAAGAAATATTTAATTAAATAAAAACAAATCATTCAGCAAGTTTTTAAAAAAAATTCATTACTTCCGTTGTTAAAATGGGAAAAAAATATTTTATTTAGTAATCTATCCTCTCCTTTAAATTCCTTTTACACACACAGGGCCGCGCAATTTTTTTATAAAATGCAACGAGTTTTTTCTTCTTTTTTTCTAATTATTTTAAAAAATATTGGGTTCGGATATTTCTTAATTAATTTAAAAAAAAAATTTCATTAACACTATGCTACAAACCTTAAACTTTTCCAAATACATCAAACTTTAATTCTAGATACCCCTCAATTTTATAATTATTTTAGTTATGACTTTTTTAAATTGCTTGGCCATTATGTCCTTAGCTAAGGGCATTGGATACCTCCTGAGTTGGTTGCCGGCCCGGTCCAGTCCGGTGCAAAAGGTCGAGTTTGTCATCGAATTTTGGCCAGAAAATGACTCGATCGGGCCGGCCCGGTAAAAATGAGGCCCGAAGAATTGGCTTAACGTAGGCCCAACTCGAAAACGGCAACCCTACTCCTTAGTATACCCCTAAGCTAAGCGAAATACACCTAAGCACTAGTTCAAAATTTTTATGGATTTACTTCTAGCTTAGCTATGATATTTTCAGCTGAGGTGGTAGGTAATCAAAATAGAACTTACCCTATAATTATTTTTATTCCTCTAAATTTTTTTTTCATAAATTTTATTTTGCCAAAAAATTCCTTCCCCTTCAATTTCAATGCTTTGCCGCCTTCCAAATATTTATATAAAATATTTATTAAAAACCAGTTTTTTTTTCAATATTTTTTTATTATTGCAATTTATATTTTTAGTTTAATTTTTTTCTCACTTTTATTTACTTACCCATTTTTTAAAAATAATAAAAATATTATTTTGATTTGTTTATCATAAAAGTAGAAAGAAATTGCCTAATTAATAATAAAAAATAATAATTTTATTTTTGGGGGGTGGTTTGGGTGTTGCGCTTTCATCAATCAAGCACCTCACCTCTTTTAATTATTTTTCCCTATTTTTCCTTATTTTTTATTAAAAATTTTTTTAGATTTCATAGACTATTTTTATGCGGTTTTGTGACTCTTGCCCTAAAAATTTGATGATTTGATAGGCTTGATTTTATTAATTTTTGATATAATAAATTGAAGATAAGACTGGTTCTGGGACATATTCTTCTTTTTCTTAGTTCTTGTAGGTTTAATACCTGTTTCGAAAAAAGATCTGGGATCGTTAGGCTTTTTCTTTAAAAATCTAGAATTTTTAAACTTATAAACCAATTTATTCCCTGATTTTTTAAAAAATATTTTCTTCCGTTTTCCCTTACATGGAAGTTAAATTTTTTAGGAATTTAAAAATATTTTATTCTAAGGAATCTTTAATCAAATAAAAAATATCATATTTACTTCCAATTTTCCATCAAAAAATTTTTATTTGGCAAAAAACAAATAAAAATAATAAAATAAAAATAAAATTAACCTAATTTTTTTTTAAATTTTTTCATGGAAATTGATCTTTTCTTTTATTGTTTTCATTTTTCTCCTTCTACACTACCACAATTTTCTTATAAATTCTTTATTATTTTTTTCCCGAAACAAAAACATCATTTCCGCCCTATTCTCGCCGATGTATTCACAGGAGATTCCTTTAAAAATAAAATTAATGTTCTGATATTCATTTATTCCTTCGAAAAATAAATTCAGAACTTTAAATAACTATCTAAATAAACTTGAAATCAGAATTATATTTAACTTTCAGGAAAGAATAACAGCATTTCCGGAAAATACACTTCCTTAATTTACCAAAATTATTTATTCCTATTAATTAAAAAGGTACCGTAAAATACACACTCTTTCCGTAAAAATAACAACATTCTGAAAACACCAGAATTATTTATAATCATTCCGGAAATATGTATTTTTATCAGAATTTGTGTTTTCTCTGAATATACACGAAAATACATTTCCGGAAATCATCAGAGTTATTAATTCTGATTTATTAAGAAAAATACACAATCTTTCCGGAAACATTGACAACTTTCCGGAAACCAGAATTATCTATGAACATTCCGGAAAAAGTTTATTCTTATCAGAATTTGTGTTTTCTCTGAATATACACGAAAATACATTTCCGGAAATCACCAGAATTATTAATTCTGATTTATTGAGAAAAATACACAATCTTTCCGGAAAAATTAACAACTTTCCGGATACCAGAATTATTTATAGACGTTCCGGAAAAAGTTTATTCTTATCAGCATTTGTATTTTTTCTGAATATTGTATTTTTCTGGAAATCGTCAGAATTATTAATTCTGGTATTATTCATTTTTATCAGAATTTGTATTTTCTTTTAATATACACGGAAATACATTTCCGGAAATCACCAGAATTATTAATTCTGATTTATTTCGAAAAATACAAACTCTTTCCAGAAAGATAACAACTTTCCGGAAAAAATCAGAATTATTTATAATCCTTCCGGAAAAAGTTTATTCATACCATAATTTGTATTTTCTTTTAATATATCAGAAATACATTTCCGGAAATCATTAGAATTATCAATTCTGATTTATTAAGAAAAATACACACTCTTTCCGGAAAGATTAACAACTTTCCGGAACATCATACTTATTTATAAACATTCCGGAAAAAGTTTATTCTTATCAGAATTTGTGTTTTTCTAATATTGTATTTTTCCGGAAAATACCATAATTATTAATTCTGAATTATTAAGAAAAATACACACTCTTTCCGGAAAAATAACAACTTTCCGGAAACCAGAATTATCTACATTGACAACTTTCCGGAACAGCAGAATTATTTATAGACGTTCCGGAAAAAGTTTATTCTTATCAGAATTTGTGTTTTTCGAATATTGTATTTTTCCGGAAATTATCAGAATTATTAATTCTGATTTTATTCATTTGTATCAGAATTTGTATTTTCTTCTAATATATCGGAAAATTTATTTCCGGAAACTACCAGAATTATTAATTCTGATTTATTAAGAAAAATAACTCTTTTCGGAAAAATAACAGCTTTCTGAAAACACCAGAATTTTCCGGAAAAAGTTTATTCATACCAGAATTTGTATTTTCTCTGAATATACACGAAAATACATTTTCGGAAATACCAGAATTATTAATTCTGATTTATTAAAAAAGTATTTTCGCCTTTTATTTTATTATTTTCTTCTCTTTTATTTAGAGTTGATTAAGTGTTTGTTTAGATTTTTATATATTTTTTTGTTTGTCTGCCTATCAAACCAATAAATCATTTCAATTCACTGCGCGTATTTTAATCAGTTTTCATTTTCTTTTTTTTCTCTCTATTATTTTTATTTCCCACCTGCTAATAATAAACAATTGCCAAAAAGTACTAGAACTGAACTTGTTAAAACCTCGAAAAGATAAAAAAATATTTTTTTGATGATTTAAATTAAATGAGAAAATTAAAAAAAAGATGTTAAATTAAAAAAAAAAATTAAAATTTTGTCACGCGCAATTGTTTTCTTTTATTCTTTTCAACTCTTTTTTAAATTAACAAAATTTTATGAGGGAAAGACATTGAATGATCGAAAAAACAAATTATGATGACAAAATTTTAATTTATAAAAAAAAGTTAAAAATTAAATTTAATGTATTTTTGTCTGTTCTTTATTTAAAGTTTTTTGTTTAATTTTTTGTTTTAATTTTGGCTAGGAAATTTCTGAAATAGAAAAATAGCAACTTTCCGGAACAATCAGAATTATTTAGAAAAACTTTTTGAAGTTAGAATTATTTAAAAACCTTCCGGAAAGACCAGAATTATTTTAAACTTACTGGAAGAACCAGAAATATTATATTTTAAATTTTCCGGAAAAATCAGAATTTTTATTTAAAACTTTCTGAAAACTAAACAGCCTATTTTAAAAGAATTTATATTTTATCCGGAAAATACATTTCCGAAAATTATTCTTCATATTTTTTAAAAATTAAAATATTTGTAGAATTAATAAAATGATAGAAGAAAAATTACAAAATGGAGAGATTATTTCAGATAATTTAACACCAACAATAAATTATCAACAACAACAACCAGGCACTTCCTCCAATTCGTTTCAAGATGGAAATATACATTCAAATCAGCTTAAAGTAAAAAAACTTTTTCTAAAGCAGTTATATTAAGAGGGATAGGGAAGCGCTTAGCCGACGGCAGGAAGATTCCTGTGCCTTGATCATGTGCCTTGATCATGTGCCTTGATCCTTGTAGAATTTATTCAGAATTAAATGCCTAATAGATATTATGAAAAATGACATAAGCAAGAGATTTAAAGACCTTTATTCCAAACCTATTCTAAAGTATTATGGTCAGGAGCTCTGCTAACCACAGTTTGGGATTGTTTGTTAACTGAGCTACTCTGAAGCTTATCTTACTTTTTCATTTTTCAAGTCCCAATTTTTTAAATTTTTTTAACAGACTACTCCTTCGTTTAAATCAGTTTATGATGAAGATATTGATGATATAGAAGTTCCTTTACGTTGTGGTGTAGGTTCTTGCACCCCTGACTGGCTTCAAAAATTACATACGGCTAAATGGCTTTTATTATTTCTTGGAATGTTTGTTTAAAAATTAAAAAAATAAATATTAATTAATTAAAGATGTGCATTTAACCAATCTTTTGTTATTAATGCTATTTTCCCTGTGGATCTTTCTACTTTAGAAAAACGTTTTCATATGACTAGGTTAATAATTAAATTATAAATTTGCGGACGACATTTGCGGACAAAACTGAGACTTGTTGAAATTGGGGGATATGTCAACTTATTTTTTAATGCGATAAACCTAATCGTACAGAGAATCGGAGAGGACAAGATAACGTTAAAATAAGTCGTATATCGAGATTGGGATTTGTACGATTTTCGAGATCTTGAATCTCGACCTGCCTCCAAGGTTAGTCTCTAATAAAAATACCGTTACTTGTGTCCGTAGATGTCTCGAACTCTGCCTTAAACTCTAATTTTTAAAAATTATTTACAGTACCCAAACTGGTATAATATCGAGTTGGTATGATTTGGCTGTCCTTCTTGTTGTATTCCCTGTCTGCCATTGGGGAAATATTGGTAAAATGATTTTTAAATTTTTAGAAAAATTTTAAAAAATAATTTCCAGGCCATAAAGGCCGTTGGATTGGAATAGGCTCTTTAATTATGGGCTTTGGCTCTTTTATTTCTGCAATGCCTCATTTTATTTCCTCTCCATGGCCTATTGATAATTTAAATTCTAGTGATTATGGACAGTGTACTAACAGGTGAAATCTATCAGTAGAATACCCCCAACTGTTATATAACCTTAATTCACAGAATGAGACATTTGAGGATCACAATAGGTCCCCAAGGAAATAATTAGGTATTCCCTTGAGTGGGATTATAATGACTAGAGAGCGGACCGTGACGAAATTTCGATCGAAAATCTCGGTTATCGAGATCAATTATTTTTCGAGATTTCAATTCTCGTACGACACCTACAGTTGGTCTCTAATAATGAGTTTACCTTGAAAAAAATTTTTGGAAAATTTTTTCAAGTTTTTTTCGATTTTTTAACGAATGAAAGTAAATATAGGGTTGAACTAAACGAACACTGTGAAAGCAGAAGAAGAGGATTATTGGATGCCTGGTATATGAACCCTTATTTCCTCATATTTTTGCTTGGCCAAACATTCCACGGATTTGGAGCTACACCCCTTTTCTCCCTTGGAACGGCTTATCTAGACGAAAATGTTTCACAAAAATCATCACCTGTTTACCTTGGTAATTAAAAAAATAACTGACAAGTAAAAATTTTCTCTCAGCCATTCACTCAATGTTAACTAGCATTGGCCCAATTTTTGGTTTATTTATTGGTGGCAGACTTTTACAAGTTTATGAAGACTTTGATAGAGTAGATTTAAGCACGTTAGATTTCTGGAAAAATTTCTTTGGAAAAAATTTTCCCCCCTTTTTAGTGTGCCAATGAAAAATTCTCGTGATCCCCGCTGGGTAGGTGCTTGGTGGGTAGGCTTTCTTTGTTGTGCTATTGCTTCAGGATTTATTTCAATACCTATAATGGTTGGAAAATTAGCAGATTATTGGAAAATCTTCTAAATTTCAGTTATTTGCCAGGGAATTGCCTGAGGCAAAGAAACATAGATTAAAGGATGTTAATCAGGTAGTTAATCTTAATCTTAGAAGATCACGGTACGACTAAAACAAAGCTAAATGCAATGTCCTAGAGATAGACACTGTCTTTTAGTTTTGAGTTCTGAGGTTCCCGAATTCTAGGAGTACTCCTAGAACGAGGTTTTGAGATGGAGGCCTCCCCGCCTATGAGAATTCAAGACCCAAAAATTTATGTGGGTCCTTGATGATAGATACTATTTTAGGTTCATGCAAACTCTCAAATGGACGCAAATGATCATCTCTTAAAAGAAAAAAAGAATTTTTCTCAACTTATGAAAGGATGTCTGGTATTCTAAAAATATTTCTAAAATATTTTTAAAAATTCTTTTCCTAAAAAAGAATATCCTTCGCAACCCAACATTTGTTGCTGTAATGGCAATTGGCAACTTTGAAGCAATCATCCTAAATGGATTTTCTGCCTTTATGCCTAAAATATTAGAAACGATACTTTCAACAACACCAACTATTGGGTCCTATCTTTCATGTAAAACGTCTTGAAAATTTTTTAAAAATTTTTAAATTTAAAGCTGTTGTTATTTTTGCTGCAGCAGGTGGTGTAATGATTGGAGGAATGGTTGTTAGGCAAATGAATTTACAAGTAATAAAAAAATTTTTTTGGGTGTTAAAATTCATTTAAAAATTTTTAAAAAATATATGGAAATTTTAAAAATATAAAAATATTTTTTACATAAAAATACCCATTTGATCAACACCATATATTAGGTCAAATAATTAACTTTCAATAAGATCACTACTAAATTCTAATGGTGATCTCTAGTAGTGATGCTCGTGTATCCCGATCCCGACTCGGAAAAATTTCACGAGTTTTTGGTCTCTCGACTCCCGATAGCATTTCCCGACCCGACTCCTATTTACCGATTCACGGGTTTTTTTCTTACGATCATCACTAACCCCTAGATCTGTACTTGATTTTTATTATGAAACCTTAAATTATCTAAAATAATTTTTTAATAAAAAGGTTGGTGGCATGTTGAAAATGATTTTAATTTGTCACCTTGTAGCCCTAGTTTTAATCACATGCCTTTTGGTTCAATGCCCCTCGAGAGAATTTGTTGGGATAACACTTGGCTATGATAGACAGTAATTGAGAATATTTTTTAGTTTCAAAATTTTTTTTTTGAGGAAGCCAAAGCCAGGAGTTACTCCTTCCTTAATTGCTCAGTGTAATTCTCAATGTCATTGCACTAATAAATGGAACCCTGTTTGCGACAAAAGTACAGGTACTAACTTGTAGGGATTAGAGGGGAATTTGGAACCCAATCCTTCCTTTCCGGGTCTATGTCCTTTTTTTACAAGTGGATGAAAGCTTGAAACTTGTTCTTCTCACCTTCAGTCCCTTCCGGTGCTTCTAAAAATTAATAATCAATTTAGGTCTAACATACTTTTCTGCATGTTATGCTGGTTGTGAATATAAAGAAGAGATTCATTCTTTGGTGAATTTTTTATTTATCCTTAACTAAAAAACTCATTTGGTCTGGAAAGTTATATCTTATAATTATGTTTATTGTTAGCCTAAAGTGAGGGTATTGTTTTAGCCGTTCTCCCCCTCCCTCCCTCCCTCCCCCTCCACCTCTCTCCACCTCTCCTCCCTCCCTCCCTCCCTCCCTCCCTCCCTCGCTCGCTCCCTCCCTCCCTCCCTCCCTCCACCTCTCTCCACCTCTCCTCCCTCCACCTCTCTCTCCTCCACCTAATCGCTAACCAGATTTTTCCAGAGGTATCTTCCTTACTTCAAGTTCTCCCCCTCCCCTTCCACCTAATGCTGACCAAATTTTTTCCAAAAACATACACTGCGGTGCAAAAGTTTATCTACACTGCCTGAAAATTTCTTTAAAACAATATATCTCGAGAAAAATTCGTTTAGATAAAATGGATTATTTTTATTATTATTAAGTGAAAAGTGCTCTTTCTAATAAGCTATAGTTTTAAAAATAACCCCCAGTACTTATTAAAGTATAACCCAGTTTTAACCCCCCAGGGCTTATATAAAAATTTTCTTTTGAGCTCATTAGAAAGCCCATAAAATTTACTATAAGATAGCCCAGGCTCAATTTTTCCGATAAAAAATTCATGGAGATAAGTGTCAAGGAATTTAATAACTTAACATTTTTAGTCAAATCCTCCCAAAATACCCCACATTTTACTCATTTTTAATTTCACAGTAAGTAACCCACACGTAAATATTATACAGATTTTTTTACAAATACGAGACCAATGGTATTTTGTAGCAAATTTTATGGGCTTTCTAATGAGCTCAAAAGAAAATTTTTATATAAGCCCTGGGGGGTTAAAATGATTTTTAAAGTACTGTACCCCGTTTTCCCGTTGATTTTTGTGATTTAAGATCTCGATGATGAAAACAATTACGGACTTGATTCTTTTTTATTTTTAACTCAATATCAATGGAAATGACCACAGAATTTTTTTGTATTTTTTCTGCCATTTGTTTTTCTAAAAATTCAATTTTTGCAAAGTGTAGATAAACTTTTGCACCGGCAAAAGACGAATTAGTTTGGGAAAAAGGAGCATATCATAAAAAGTTCTGGTCCCTATTTTTAACACAAGAGCTTATTAGAAAGAGCACTTTTCGCTTAATAATAGTGAAAAAAAACATTCCATGAAAACAAATTTTCCCCGAGATATATCGTTCTAAAAAATTTTTTGGTAGGTGTAGATAAACTTTTGCACCGCAGTGTATTTTAAATTGTTTTTATTATTGGGTACATTTTATGGAGAAATCCGATTTTATAAATATTCTTTTTTAAATTTAAAAATTAATTTTAAAAATAGGGAACAGTCTGGAGGAATTGCCATTGTATTGCTGATATTAACAGACCTTTAATAACCACAACAACCCCAAGAAATATTACTCCCAGCTTTAATCTAACTGAAAATCCATTTTTGGATTCAAGTCCTTCAATGGCTAGCGGTTTTTGTACCAAAGATTGTGGATGGTCTTTATATTTGTTTTTGGTACTTTTATTCTTTTCTGTTGTGGCTAGTTTTGCTGCTGGTATTCCTAATCAACAGGTGAATAATTTTAAAATTTGTTTTTCGAATAATTTTGATAATATGACAATTCATCCCACAAAAATGACATTTTATCCCAATTTTTCCCCAACTCCAAAATTTAAAAATTTGTCCTCATATTCTTAAGAGGAGACCAGATTGGGAGGGTCTTCGTGAATCTAGATCGATATCTCGATTTTCGATAACTGAGATTTTTGTTCGAGATATTGCTTCGGTCCGAACTCTGTTCTAAACTTTATTGTTAAAGTCCTTCCTAAGAAAATCTCTAATAATTCTTTGTTCATTTAGATCATGCTTCGAGTTATCCCTTTCCATCAAAGAACTCTAGGTATTGCTGTTAATTGGACATTCCACAGACTTTTGGGTTTTATACCCGGAGGTATACTTTTTGGTTTTATGATAGACACTACCTGTCAGAAATGGCAACATTCTGATTGTGGAACAAGGCAATCTTGTTTGGTAAATAAATAAATTATTTTTATCATGCAATCAAAAGGTTAGGGTCTATATATCCAGAAGTGAGAAAAGGCTGGCTATCCGAAATTTCTGTCTGAATATCAGTTCCGGATCTGGATATACTAAGATTTCTAAGGATCCGCCAACCTTTAATCAGATTCCTTTATTAAGGGAGGTTAAACAGACCTTTTTTTATTTTTTAAAATTTATTTGAAAGGTACATGATCAATACAGACTAGCATGGACTATAATGGCTGTAGCTGTTGTTTGCAAATTAATGGCTGTATTAGCAACGATTATTGGTTATGTTACTTACAGGCCAAATGACCTCGACAGGCAAAATATTTATCAATTTTTATATTTTAAATTAAAATTCTGATTTTTTAGTGCAATGTCTGTACAAACAACAGATTCTAGAGGTCCTCTCTCTTTGGTAAATTAATTCTGATTTTTAAATTTTTTTAAATTATTAATTTAGGTAGTTAACGACGACAGGCCAAAACAAGCATCTTTACATACAACAGCCCTTTCTACAGATTCAACAGCCTCAGCACTTCACAAAGAATAAAAAATTAATTAAGAATTATCAAATTGTTTATTTAAATATATTTTTTGTATTTTTTGAAAAATTTTAATAATTAAATTTTTATTTGAAATTAAAAATACTATACATAGGTATTTAGGTTTATTTCATATGTAGGAATATAAAATTCTGGTTTTAATTTTAAAAATTCTGGTTATATTTAAATAAACTTATTCAATCAAGTTTTAATAATCTTCTGATTTTGTATACACAAAGAAAATTCTGGTTTTATTATTTATTTAATTTGAAAATCAGAATTATGTTTCTTCTGATTTTTAATTAATAAATTCTGATTTTATTTTTTATTAAAATATAAATTCTGATTCAAGTTTATTTAAAAAATTCTGATTCAATTTTATTTAATATACCTACATAAATTCTGATTCAAGTTTATTTTAAATAAATTCTGATTCAAGTTTATTTAATATACATAAATTCTGATTCAAGTTTATTTTAAATAAATTCTGATTCAATTTTATTTAAAATAAATTCTGCTTCAAATAAATTATAAAATAAGTTTATTTAAAAAATAAGTTTATTTATTTAATACTATTCAAAAGCATTAATTTAAAAAGTTGTATTTTTCCCTATTAATAAAAATCATAATTTCTCCGATTTTCTTTTAAATTTCTTAAAAACACGGCTCGCATTGTTCTTCACATTTTTGACATTTAGGTCCACACTCACGACATTGTTCCCCAAATTGATAACATTTTTTGCATTCCTCTGTTTCATAACAGTTCTTTTGGACACATTTTGTGCATGTTTGTTTGCTACAGACAATACCGGAATAAGCCTTTAAAAAATAATTTTTTCTCATTTTATTAATTTTTTACTTCAACACAATCCTCACAATCGTCTTCACATTCTTTGCATTCTTTAGAAGTTGCGCATTGTACACAGCTAGTCCCTCCATACTTTAAAATTTATTTTTTAAAAATATTTTTTCTTCAAAAAGTTGCCTTAGCACAACGTGAGCATTGTTCTTGTTCATTACATTTTTGGCCTGCACATTTTGTGCATTTTGAGTTTGGTGCCTGGCAACTTGTTGGACAAGTCATACACTCAACATTGCAATAATCACAGTCTTGTGCACATCTGTCACACTCTTTTCCCTTAAATAAACTTGTTTAAATAATTAAAATTTAATTAAATCTACCGTGGAAGCACAACTTTGACAGGCTGCAATAGTTTTGCACTTTTGCTGCTTTTCTATGCAGTCTATGCAAGTTTGTGTATTACAGGGTTGTCCGCCTGTTGTTTTTGTATTTGTTTTGGTAGTTCCAACCTTTTTGTCAGTGGCTGTATTTTCTGTATCTGAAATTAATTCTGATTTTAATTTGTTTTTATAGTTTTTTTATTCCAAGTTTATTTATTTCAAGTTTATTTTAATTCTGATTTTATTTCAAGTTTAATTTCTGATTTTTTAATTCTGATTTAATTTCAAGTTTAATTTCTGATTTAATTTCAAGTTTAATTTCTGATTTTATTTGAAGTTTAATTTCTGATTTTATTTCAAGTTTAATTTCTGATTTAATTTCAAGTTTAATTTCTAATTTTATTTCAAGTTTAATTTCTGATTTTATTTCAAATTTAATTTCTGATTCTATTTCAAGTTTAATTCTGATTTTATTTCAAGTTTATTTCTGATTTCAAGTTTAATTTCTGATTTTATTTCAAGTTTAATTTCTGATTTTATTTCAAGTTTAATTTCTGATTTTTTCTTTATTTTCTACTACATTTACATTATCTCTCTCAACCTACCATGCATATCCTTCCCAACATGTTGTGTATCCTTGCTAATAGTAATATCCTTTCTCGTATCCTTTCCAACTTGTTTCTCATCATCTCTATCAGTCGTATCAACACCCGGTTGTGCGCCAAAAACAACAAACAACAGTATATGAAATATTAGAAACCCAATAAAGAGAGAAGAAAATCTTTGGGACATCATTATTTATTTTTTTATTTTAGCGTAAAATAAAATTTTATTTTAATAAAAAATTAAAAAAATATTTTTTAAATTAAAGTGAAAAATCTTTCAGCCTTGAATTGCTTTTAAATGGCTATTTTTTAAACTTTTTTTAAATTATTCCTTAATTTTGAAGGACATTTTTCTTCTACAAAATACCTCACAAGATTAAACATTATATTTTAAATTTTTTTCCTTTATTTTTGTTTTCACTTTTTAAATTATTCATTTAATTAATTTGACATTTTTTGAAAAAATTTTGAAAAAAAATTTTTTTGAAGGCCGTTCCTTTTCTTTCATCATCTGTATTTTTGCAGTAACGTTAACGTTGAGAAGATATCAGACCAAAGTTTATATTTTAAATAAATAAAATTAAAAAAAGAGATAAAATCAAGAAGATATCAAAATAGTGAAAAAATATTTATGTAGATATTTAAAAAATTAAAAAAAAATAAAAACAAATTAAACAATATCATGACCCTTTTTGAGGTTCAGTTGAACAAAATACCTCAATTTTCCATCTTGAGCAGTCATCAAAAATCGTTCAGGATTGGATTTCGAGATACAAACTAAAAAATACAAAATACTAAAATTTTTATTTGTTTTTATCTCCAATGAAAGTCATTTTTGTTTCATTTCCTGCCAGCTCTTAATTAATCAAATTTAATATTTAATTAAAAATAATTTTTTTCTGGATTCCTTTATAATGGAAAATAATTTTTTATTCTCGCGCACCATAAATTCTATCGATTGCCCTAATTTTATATTATTTTTTCTTCGCCACAGGAGAATTTTATATAATTTTAAATCACCCTTCTTTTAAGCTATTTCCTAATTTTTATCTAAAAATTTTCAAAAAAAAATTTTAAAAATTAAAAATGAGAGTTTGTGTGATAGGTGCTGGAGTTAGTGGATTGCCTTCAATTAAAGTTTAAAAAAATAATTAATTAATTAATTTAAAAATTAAATAAAAGGCTTGTCTTGAACAAAACCTAGAGGTTGATTGTTATGAAAAAACTTCGAGTATTGGGGGACTTTGGAATTATAGACCAAATGAGGATAATGTTGGGGCTAATGTTATGGCATCAACTGTTGTAAGATTTAATTTTTATAGTCAACACTCTCTATATTCCGAAGTTGAGGAAGAGTTTGTAGTAGGGTGTTGGTATATAGAGATTAACAACATACTGGATTATCTTTCTGAAAGATACCCATAGAGTATTTTTTTACATGGATATTGAAATCGGGCCTGTGGACCTCCTAAAGTAGGAAAGCCTGATCCGAAATATTTTAAAACATAACCGAGATTTTCGAACGATATCTTACCATTCAGGTTCTCATTCGATCCCTAGAGATTAACGACATACTGGATAATCCTTTTGAAAGATAACCCTCCGATAAAGTATTTTTTCACATGAATATTGAATTTATTGAGCCTGTGGACCTCCTAAGTAGATAAAGCCTGATCCGAAATAATTTTTAATAAAATATCATATCTCGATAACCGAGATTTTTGAACAATATCTTGCTATTCAAGTTACCATCCAATCCCCTTTACACCAATTTAATCACCAAATATTTTTTTAATTTTAAAGGTGAACACCTCTAAGGAATTGATGGCTTACTCAGATTTTGTAATTTTAAAATTTATTACATTAAACCTAATTAAATAGCCACCTCCTCCCGAATGGCCCAATTTCATGCATCATAGTTATGTACAAAAATATTTAGAAATGTATGCTAAACATTTTGATTTGATTAAATATATTCATTTTAATACTGAAGTGATCGAGGTTTCAAAAAAATTTCATCAAAATTTTTTTTAACAAAAAAAAATTTTTTAAGGTCCGTAGGGTTGAAGGGGATGATCAAACCAGCTTAACAAAATGGAGTGTTTCCCTCTCCAATGGAATTACAAAAATATATTCTGCTGTGCTAATATGTACCGGCCATCATTGTGAACCGCGTATTCCTACCGAAATTAATGGTTTTTTCAATTTAAAAAATTTTTTTCAAAAAAATTCTTAAGGCCTAACCACATTCAAAGGAAGAGTTTTACACTCTAAGCATTATCATGATTATAAAGGTTTTGAAAACAAACGTGTTATGTTGGTTGGTATAGGAAATTCTTCGTTGGATATAGCTGTGGAGTTGGCTGGGATTGCTAAGAATGTTTGAAGCTTTATTATAAGGGGATACCAAGGCCTAATAAATAATGACCGGGATGGTTAACTAGAGATATTTAATATAGACTAGATACCTCGAACAATAATTTTGGTTATCGAGATTAAGGTTTTTCGAGATGTTGATCTCGATTTTTCGTATGATCCCCCAGCCGGTCTCTATATATGAGACTGCGACAGAACTCGCAACCTGTGAACTGTCACCTCCAAATCTTTACACAATAACAAGTCTCTAAAAGAAATTTTCTATCAAGGTTGTAATTTCTACACGTCGAGGTACCTGGCTATTTAATAGAATAACTCAAAAAGGATTACCCTATGATGTGGTTTATCAAAGTCGATTTTATGATTGGTTAATGAGAACAGTTCCTTGGAGTATTGCAAATGATTTTCATGAATGGAGAATGCAACAGAGAACGTTAAAAATATTTTTAATTTATATGACTAGATTATATGTAGAGTAAGGGTGTTAATTAATTAATCACACTACAGCCTTAGCATATTGATCTAATGTATTATTTGTTCCTTATCAGAAAAGTCCATATATCAGGTGATTTTCGGATCGGATTAGGATATCCGAGGATCTCGATATGGATATTTGAAGATCTCGGTCTGATATCGAATTCGGATCAGATTCCGGAGATTCCCAGGCTCTCTCAACGAGTAATAATCTAATAGATTGACCTTTTAGTTTAAAAATAATTCTGATTTCTTAAAAATTTTAAAATTAAGTGATCACGATTTATATGGTCTACGACCTCCACACCGTTTTTTCCAACAACACCCAGCTGTCAACGATGCCCTAACAAATTTATTAGCCAGTGGCCGCGTCAAAATTACAATTTGAGAAATTCAAAATAAATATAACAATTAATTTTTCAAACAATTTTAGGACGATATAAATTATATTGATGAATATTGTGTTTATACAAAGGATGGGCGTTGTTATGAAATGGATGTGATTATTTTGTGTACAGGATATTCTTTCGGATTTCCTTTTATTAAACCGACTGGACTTATACCTGTGACGGTTAGAAGAAAAAATTAAGATGAAATATAGTGAAACTCCTGAAACCCTCTATATAGTGAATCTCTTCATAAGCGACCAACTTTTTTCTTTGTTCTTTCATGAGATAGAGGGATTTTGCTAGTCTCTGTATAGTGAACATCATTTAAACGACCTGACAAAAGATCTCTTATAAAGGAATAAACCCTCTATATAGTGAATCTCTCTCCATAAACGACCGACCCTTATATTTTTGCCCGTTCATGAGATGAAGGGATTTGACTGTACATATTATAATTTGAAAAAATCTTTTTTAAAGGAAGACAATCAAGTCGATCTTTATAAACTCATCCTCCCACCCTCACCCTCAGCAAAAGGCTTAGCTGTTATTGGATTAGTACAGCCAAGTAATTTATTGCATTAATTTAAGAAAAATAAAATTTCAGTTGGAAGTGTTTCTCCTATAGCAGAAATGCAAGCTCGTTGGGTAACCTCAATCCTTGCTAAAGGGCTTAATTCTTTACCGAATGAAACGCAAATGAGAGAAGAAATAGCTTATAGACGTGAGAGAATGCGCAGACAATATTTTGAATCGGCTAAACATACAATACAAGTAAATAATATTTTTATAGGTAAATAAACTTGAAATCAGAACTTGAAATAAATCAGAATTATGCATTATTATTTAAATAAACTTGGGTCAGAATTATTAATAAACTGGAGATAAATCAGAATTTCAATATAATTAAACTTTAAATAAACCAGAATTATGCATAAAATACATAAATAAACTTTAAATCATAATTATTAATCTATATAAACCCTAGATAAATCAGAATTATGTATTAATGTATAAATAAACTTGAAATTAAAGCTTAAATAAATCAGAATTATACGTTAATATAAAAATAAACTTGAAACCAGAATTTATTCAGAATCAGAATTAATATTTTAACAAATAAACTTGAAAATAAACTTTAAAATCAGAATTAAAATCAGAATATAATTAAAGGTTCAATATTTGCCTTACATGGACGAATTAGCAGAACAAATTGGTTGTAGTCCACCAAATATTAAAAAGGCTAGGAATTAATTAAAATTTAACCTAAACATTTTTCTTAAAGATTCTGTGGAAAGAACCCAGCTTTGCTCTACGTTTACTATTTGGTCCAAATGTTCCCTACATTTATCGACTACAAGGGCCCAATCTGTGGGCAGATGCGCGCAAAGCTATTGAGGGTGTTCCCTATCGAGTTAAGACTCCTTTAAAACAGAGATTTAAAAATGTTAAAAAGTATATCAGAAATTTATTTTTTTATTTTAAATAATTATTTTTTAGTAAAAATACAAAGAAAGGACTTGTAGACAATCTTTTCGATTATTCAATGACTAAATGTTTGGCACTCTATTTTACTATAATTTTTGGTGTGGGAGCTTGGTTATTTGGAAACCAAACATTTTCTTTTATTCTTCATAGTGTTGCGATTATTTTGGTAGCATTTATGGGATATATTTTTTATTTTGATGTTTCTTGGTTGTAAATATGAGTATTGGAAATTCTGATTTTGTAAATTCTGATTTATTTAAGAGTTAAGTTTATTTATTAATAACAATTCTGATATGTTTATTTATGTATATTCTGGTTATTAATAATTCTGATTCAAAGTTTATTTATATTAATTCTGATTTCAAGTTTAATTATTTAATAACTCTTTTTCGAAGCTTTTTTATTTAATGATTCTGATTTAAGATAATTCTGATTTATTTAAGGTTTATTTATGTAATAATTCTGATAAAAGTTTATTTAATATAATATATAATTCTGATTCCAAGTTTTTTTATTAATAATTCTGATTTTTCAAGTTTATTTATTTAATTCTGTTTTAAAGTTTATTTACTAATTCTAAAAAATATAATTCTGATTTTGAACATATTTATAAGTATAACGATTCAAATTAGGAGCTTTTTGTTAAATAATTCAAATGCTTCTTTTGCAGAAACAGAAAATAACTTTGACTGTTCTGATAATAATAAATGTCCAATTTCTTCTACTATTGCTAATTCAATATTTTTTAGCATTTTTGTTTTTTTCTCCAAATCCACGTTTTCCAAATTTAAATTATTGTAAGTATTGTCTTCTAATAAATTTAATAATTTTGTAAGTGCCAAATTAAGAATATTTTCTTCCTTTATTTTATGTTGTTTTTCATTGTTATCTCCAACCAATCTTTTCAAAAAATTAATTATTTGTTTTATATGAGATTTATTTAAATTTTCTTCTTTTTGGTCTTTCATTAGCTCATTTAATGTCTGATTTATTTCTACTTTAATTAATGATTCTATTGTAGATAAATATATATTCCATAGGTTAGCAGGTGATGGGAGATCTTAATAAATTATTTCTGATTTAAAGTTTAATTAATAGGTAATTCTGATTTATTTAAAGTTTATTTATTGTAATAATTCTGATTATAATTATTCTGATATATTTAATAATTCTGAAAATTCTAATATAATTTTGATTTATTTAAGGTTTAATAATTCTGATTTGTTTAAAGTTTAATTATGCATTAATTCTGATTTCAAGTTTATTTATAATTGATAATTCTGGTTTATTTAAAGCTTATATTAATTCTGATTTTAATTCTGATTTAAAGTTTAATTAATAATTAACCAGTTAATTTCTGTAAAAGATTCCCCAATCCTTTACGTTCTTCAAATTGTTCACAAATTTCAACTGTAACATTTAAACAACTTAAAATTAAAGTTTTTAATAATTCATTATTATTTTCAAATAATATTAATTCTGTAGATATTTGAATAATTAATTGATGACATAATAAACTATCCAATAATTCATCCAACCCCATAGACAGCTTCCCCCCATTCTTATTATTTTCGAGTAAAAATAAATAGGCAAATTTTCCGGGGAAATTTGGACTAATTGGACTATTTTCTTCTTCATTTTTTGAAGAATTTTGGTTTTGAAATTGAAATAACTGAAAAAATTTTAATTTTAAAATTTTTTTCCGGTCAGTTACTTGATTGGCCAGTTGTCTAACTTTATTAACACTTTCCTCCACCTCTTCAGGAGTAAGTCCAAGGCGATAGGAAACACGCATATCACCCTCATTCGAATTTTTATTAAATTTGGAAATTAGGATTCTAACAGGAAAGAGTGAATAACAGCTAAAAAATAATTTTAATTTGATTTTAAAAATTAATGAGTTTAATTACCTAGCTAACCAAATATTTGTAGCAAGAATTTCTTCAATAGAAATGATAATATTAGAATTTCTTTTAATTTTTAAATTTTTTAGATAAACAAAAAGTTTTTGTAAAATAGCACAACCAGTTAAAGATAGAGCCTTTAATATTTTATTTCTTTTAAATATTTAATGAAAATTTTTCTAGACTCAAGGCCTAACCACAATGTCGCATCCTGCGAATTAACCCCAACTAATTATTTTAAATAACTTATTAAAATTATGAAATATATTAATCACTACTAAAATTTCCCACGCACATATTTTAAAATACATTTCCTCCAAAACCACTGGCTATAAATATATTGTTTCCCTTCCCTTTAAGCACTCTTCAATAAAATAATTATAAAATATATTCTTCTGCTTTTAAATTAATTGTATTTTTTCTCTTGCGAAATAAACTTTATTGGATTTTGAATTAATTGAACTTAGAACTAGGATTTCTTTAAATATTAGGAAAAAATCCCTACAGCTCAGCCGGTGGTTTAATTACCCAAGTTTAAGATGAAAACGAAAAATATTCGAACCCCTATTCCCCAAAACGAAATTTATAAATTACGAAAATATTTAAACTTTACTATTAATAATAATTCATCTAATTCTTCTCCCGAACCAATGTCTATAAATACTAATTTGGTGGCAACTACCGAATCCTCACTTCAGGCGGCCCCCACCGCTGAAATTTCTTCTAAATTTTCAGAAATATCAATTACTGCTAAACCATCTTCTAAATTTTCAGAAATATCAATTACTGCTATCCCTACAGCTCAGCCGGTGGTTTAATTACCCAAGTTTAAGATGAAAACGAAAAATATTCGAACCCCTATTCCCCAAAACGAAATTTATAAATTACGAAAATATTTAAACTTTACTATTAATAATAATTCATCTAATTCTTCTCCCGAACCAATGTCTATAAATACTAATTTGGTGGCAACTACCGAATCCTCACTTCAGGCGGCCCCCACCGCTGAAATTTCTTCTAAATTTTCAGAAATATCAATTACTGCTAAACCAACTGCCCATCCACCAATCCTTCCTCCATCACCAACACCCCCACCAACCAACATGCCTGTGGATGAAATCCCACTTCCAATTCAACCACCACAATCGCTTGCGTCTCCGGAACTGAAAATGATTTTGGATCCCCCACCGCCTCCACCCAGCTCTCCCATGAAGTTTCCAATCAGCCGTGTACGTGTGCTCCCTTCTGGCTTTGTTGAACGTCTCCCAGCATCAACCATTTCAAAAAATCAATTGGCCAAATTGCGAAAGAATAAGAATAAGAAATTTATGAAAAGAAACATTTCACACATTCCCCCATTAAACTCATTAAAATTTACGGTCCCCCCTGTTGTTGGGCGAAAGCCCCATATTATAACTAATTATAACAATTTAAACCCCAACTGGCCCACCCAAAACAATCAAAATCAAATTTCAGTTCCGAGAACCCAAGCTCCACCACAAAATACTATTGTTACTAACACCATGGTTCCCATTGTTTATTTGCCTAACAATCTTCTCCCCCTATTTAATGTCCAACCAATTCACCCAATTTTCGCCGCGGGACTGTCGCATCCTGCGAATTAACCCCAACTAATTATTTTAAATAACTTATTAAAATTATGAAATATATTAATCACTACTAAAATTTCCCACGCACATATTTTAAAATACATTTCCTCCAAAACCACTGGCTATAAATATATTGTTTCCCTTCCCTTTAAGCACTCTTCAATAAAATAATTATAAAATATATTCTTCTGCTTTTAAATTAATTGTATTTTTTCTCTTGCGAAATAAACTTTATTGGATTTTGAATTAATTGAACTTAGAACTAGGATTTCTTTAAATATTAGGAAAAAATCCCTACAACAACCTCAAGACTTGAGACAATTTTAAGGCCCCGAAGACAGATTTTGGGTTCAAAACCAGTTTTCACCTTAAAAATTGTTCTGACCTCAAGACATGAGAGTTGTTCCCCTCCTAATGGAAATGGAGAGCCTAGGAAAAAATTTTCGAGGTGTCACTGGAAAGGGGACGGATCCCAACTCTAAATATTCAAAATTATGAGTCAGGATCTCAGGAAAAATTTTATCTAAATATTTATTTACCCCTCCCTTCGCCACACATTTAACAGATAAATTAGCCATTCCTTTAAATAAACTAGAAAGCCATAAATCTTCATTTTTTGATAACAAATTTAATAATAAATTGTTAATAAAAGGGTGTGAACATATCAGTATCCCCAAGGATTGTTTGATTGTTCTTGTTGAATTGTTTGTTAGGGAGAAAGAAATACAAAGTTCAAATTTGGATAAAATGACAGATATTATACAAAATGAGGCAAAGGTTAAACCTGAAATTAAAATAATTTTTAAAGAAAATTAATAATAGTAGTCCCCTCAAGGTATAAATCCCCTCATGCCTTTAAACCCCCACCCACGTTTACATCTATGTCCCTGATAAAAAAAATAGGGAAGGGTGCCATTGAAAATTTTTCGAGATGACTAAAGGAGGACGGACTAGGTTTCCTATCAAATTAACAACCTACCAATTTCATTAGAAATACGTTCAAGAAAATCAGCTATATTCTCTGCTAATATAACACATAAATCGGAATTGGCAAATAAAAATAAATTTTCATTTGAAATTTTAGGAAGTATAGAAGATATTAGCATTTCCAAAATATTTAATACATTGGACAACAAAATTTGATCTATTGGGGGTTTTTCAAACCATGGCGATTTTTGTTTTATTAAATCTAAAATGAAAAAAATATTTATTGTTCAACTAAAATTATTATTATACATAGTCCTTCCGGAAAAGAATAACTTTCCGTAACCCCTATAAGCATAGAATAACAAAAATAGTTTCCGGAAAAAGTTTATTCAATATGCAATAGTGACAATAGAAAATATAAGATTTCCGGAAGATATAAGATTTCCGGAAAATATAATAATTTCCGGAATATGATATTCTTTTCGGAAAGTTTATTTTATATGAAAGCTAGACATAGGAAAAATTCCGGAAAATATAATAATTTCCGGAATATTATATTCTTTCCGGAAAAGTAACAGCCGTAAAACTTCTAAACAGAGAATAAATAGAATAGTTTCCGGAAAAAGTTTATTTTATATGAAAGCTAGTGACATTAGGAAAAATTCCGGAAAATATATGTTCTTTACAGAAATAGTTTCCGGAAAAGATTTATTATGTATGGAAACAGCTAGTTTTTGCAATATTTTTAAAATAAAAAATTTTCTTAAATTACCAAATTCAATTGTTCTATCATTAATTTTTTCCATCAATTTCCCTTTATCTAACCAATTTTTTAAAATTAATTTACAACCACAATCATCATCATTTTCTTCTTTTAAATTAATTTCTTCACTTAAATCAGGCAATAAATTTAAGTAATTATCTTTATTTTTATTTTTGTTTAACAAAAACTGATTAAATAATTCCCATTTTTCTTTTAATTTATTTTTTATTTGAAAAATAAATCCTCTAGGAAATGTTGAGGTAATTATTGAAGAATTTAATAAATATTCAAATAATATTTTTTCACAATTTTCTAACAATAGAATGTATTGTTGTTTTTCCTTTTCTTTAATTTGTTTTTGTTGTTCTGAAAAAATATTTAAATAAAAATTATATCTTATTTTTATATTTTTATTGGCTCTTATAGAAAGAGTTATTATTCTTTCCGGAAGGCCTGAGTCCTTTCCGGAAGGTTATAGAAAGAGAATAAACAAAAAATATTTAATATACTTTCCGGAGACTCATATAGGGAGAGTTATTATTCTTTCCGGAAATATATAACTTTCCGGAAAACGTTCAGGGAAGTTATAGAAATAAAAGAAAAAAAGAAAATATACTTTCCGGAAAGTTTATAAGTACATATATTTTATAATTATATTATTATTTCCGGAAATATGTATATAACTTTCCGGAAAACTTTCCGGAAGGTTTATAAGTATATTTTATAATTATTGTTCTTTCCGGAAATATATAACTTTCCGGAAAACATTCAGGGAAGTTATAGAAATAAAAGAAAAAAAGAAAATATACTTTCCGGAAAGTTTATAAGTATATTTTATAATTATTATTATATTTCCGGAAATATGTATATAACCTTCCGGAAAATTATAAGCATAGAATATACAAAGAAAAATTTCCGGAAGAAGTTTATTTTATATAGGTTTCAGTAGTAGTATAGGTAATAATCTCCGGAATTATTTCCGGAAAAGATAAAAATAACTCTCTAAACACTATTTAACCCCTTTCTCTCACCTTTCCAAGCAAAACTTCCATTAACTTCCAAAGCAAAAAGTACCAAATCACAAAATTCATTAAACATTAACAAAAATAATGTAGGCCTTTTTGTATGATTAAACAAAAATTTATTACAAATTTCAATAACTATAGAGGTTAATGCTGGGAATGGTGGAGTAGGTATTGATATATCTTCTTCTTTTAATGATATATTTGTTGATATTGGAGATAAGGATATGTCTATATTGTGTTGACGTTGAGTGAGTAACTAAAAGAAATCAAGAGGATTATATTATCAAGATTATGTATAATAGAATCCAAACACCTCCCCCCCCCCCCTATTCTTCTGCTCGTTCATAAAAGCAAAACTTCCATTAACAATGTTAAGACCTTCGAGTACCGATAGAACCTTCGAGTACCGATAGAAACATAGTAGAGATCTAATAAAGTCTCTTATATCAAGGGAGACTTTGATATATCAAGAGAGACTTTTTCCTCTTGAAGAATCGAAACATTATCGAGATTATGTATAATAGAGAGTTATCGGTTCATGAAAATCTTCGGATAGCCGGAAGCGAACCGAAGAACTTTACCAAAAATCCTAGGTTCTTCGCTTCAGCTCGGAGCTTATAAATCTATTAGAGATCGGGATGAGAGTGTAATTATAGAATAATTTTTTATTATTTACCTTCAAGGAAGCAAACAATTCTGTCCACCCAGTCCCAATCAAATCAAAATTGTTTTGCTCCACAAAATTCAAAAAAATATTTCCAATTTGAATACAAGTTTCTAAAGTACAATTTCTTTCTTCTTTTTCCTCTTGAAGAATAAAAGTAAAAATAGAAAATAAAAAGGAATTCCATCCATTTAAGGAATTTTCTAATTCTGATGGAAACAATAAATTATTTAATATTTCTTGAATAACATCTATTGCCCTACGATTTATTTCTGTTGGAATTGTTTTTGTTGGAGAGTTTGTGCTACACTAAATTTGATTTAAGGACTTTTAAGTATTTAAAATCAAAAACATGAAACACGTCTAAGGGTTGATCTTTTACCTAGGCTAGGTTTTATCTAAAGGTATCTGGATCTTAACTAACGGTATTGTTCAGTAGAATTCCGACTTTCCTAAATTCGAGTCACTTGATAAATCGGTATCTTTATTGGTTACAATTTTCCGTAACAATTTTAGTTCAAAATCAGGCCTGTCCGTAACAGCTCTGACCAGTGCTGGGTATTAGGTGGTTATGGCTCGGCTCCAACTCCTATTCCGGGCATTTCAAAATCATATCTAGTTTCCGGATTAATACCCTAGCAATGGTCTCGATATGATAATTTTATTTTTCCAGCTATTATAAAATCCATTTATTTAAACTTAACTAACCAAAATAAAATGTTTTTTAATAGTTAACCAAATACACAATTTTTGTAAAAATGTTTGGTTATTATTACAGGTAACTTGACATATTTTTTGTAAAAATAAAGCTGTAGTTTCTGTCTGAACTGTTGATGAATAAAGCAAATTGTTTTCATTTGCAGTACAAATTTCAGAAAGGAAAACACAAAAAGAATCCATAGGGAGAATTTTTGAAGCAGAAATAAACAGACTTAATTTAAATAAAAATTTTGTTAAGTATTTAAATTTTGAAAATCTTCAAGAATAGAAAAGGACACGGGAAGGATGCCCTGTAGGACTTGGTTGACATAAACGGAATCCGATCGGCAGAATCCTGAGGTTAAATCTTTTCTTGACCCTCAAACGAAAGTCCATTTCATTTCACTTATGTAAGGGAGAGGATGATAGAGGAAAGACTCGGTTTCGGTTGGAAACTGAGTTAGCCAGACCCCTAGGACTGAGTTAGCCAGACCCCTATAGAAGCAAAAGGCCAGACCCCCTCAAGCAAAAGGCCAGTTCATTCCACTTATGTAAGTGAGAGTATGATAGAGGAACTCAGGTTCCTAGCGTTTCGGTTGGAAACTCAGTTAACCAGGCCTCTAGGACTTGGTTAGATAGAGAATAAACTTAGTGTGTTAATTGAAGACTTTCTTCTGTAAAGATGTTTGGCTATTCCTTAGAAAGGACAAGGACAGTTTCTAGCTGGATTTATGTATCTCTCGTATAGTGCCAAATAGGAAAAAATTTTTAACTTAAAAAAATCATTTTAAGTTTAATAAAGGCATACTTGTCAATCAATCCAAGAAATTGATCCATAATTTTAACAATTTCTGAATTATTAAATTCTTTTCCAATTTTTGAATTAATTAATTGTCCAAGAGGTGAATTACTTCCTTGAGGTGTTGTTGAGTCATTTGGGAGAGGGGGAGGGGGCTCGTAAATTGATTCAATTGTTGATTTTGCTAATTTAAAATGTAGACGTTCAAGTTCCCAAATAAATTGAATACATCGAAAATATAAAAAATTTTTAGGCCATATTTAGAGGCCCCAATTCTCGATTTTTGTTCAGGTACCGAATTTATTTTGAGGACAATAATAAAGTTGGACTAAGGCACATCTGGGTTGAGGAACCTTCCACAATGGTTCTATTTAGAAATACCAGACAATTCATCCCACCAAAAATGACATTTCATCCCATATTTTCCCCAACTCCAAGATTCAAAATTTTTTTTATATTTTTAACTAGAAAGCGGACTGGGAGGTTAGTAAAAGAATATATGAGATATCCGAAAAATATCGAACTCGATAACCGAGATTCTCGTTCGAGTTCTCGTTTCGATTCCGATCTCTAGATTTATTCAATTCCAGAATTGCTGGGACCTTCAAAAAGTTTCAGATGGATACAGGGAGACAATCATGTGTTTAACGATAAATTCAAAAAAATAAATATTCACCTAACAACATGTTTAGCAACATTCGGAACAATTTTTAAAGCCTGGATTGAATTCTCAACAATTCCCTGCATTGCCAATAATTCCGGTCTATTAACAAAGCGTCTTACACATTTAATATCCTGTCCTCCTATAATATTTTTATTTGAGGAATTTGTCTTTTGAGTTAATTCTCTCAAGTCTTCCAACACACAAACACGTTCAGATATTTGTTCAAATATCCAAAATAATTCTGGAATCAGTCCTTTCAATTAAAAAAATTTTTTGACCTCCCCAACGTTCCCTAGAAAATTTACCCAATTTAATAGCCAAAGGAATAAAGGAATTTAATGCCTCCACCGTTGCAATCCTCACATCTTCTCCTATTGCCAACCCTGTTAGTTCACTTTTTCCAATTGGAAACTGATTTAATATTCGTTGGATTGAACTCCAACATGAACGTAAACGAAGACGCAGCCAACGGGAAACTAACAACTTTAAAAAGATTTTTATCAGTAAATAATAGATTCGAACCTCCCTTTGAGATAAGCTTATGAGGATTATCTTAAATAATTGAGGCCCACACCTAATAGCCAACCATAAATTTATCCTAAATTGATGTGTACCTAAATTAATGTGTAATTGATGTGTATTTTCTAGATTAGTTACCCTCCCTCTAATAATTACAGGTTTTCTATTAATCTCCTACTCTAGTGAGGAGTTGAAAAAAATATTTTACCTACCCTTAAATGCCTTACCACACGTTCAAATCTCAAATTGCCCTCCCTCGATTAATTACCCCCTCTAGCGAGTGATTACCAATTACCCCTATAGCGAGTGATTACCCATGGTAACTATTCGAAAAAATAGGTTAACTAACACTATTTATTTTCTGTTCATTATCCTTTGATTCTTGTTTAATTGGATCTTCTTTAAATAAATTTAAAATTGAATTAATTTCTAGCTTGTTTTCATTAACATTTTTGTTTAGTTTTAATTTGTCCAAAATTTGTTTAATTAATTGTTGATTAATTGAAGAATTTGTTTGGACAAATTCTAAGATTGGAAAGTATTGAATTTTAGTTGAGCTATTTATTTCTTGATTTAAATTCTGTAAAAAAAATAAATTTTATAATTTTAAGGAAAGGTAGATCTAACAGGTACTTATGTATCCCCCCCCCCCGTCAATTTTTTTGGTAAATATGTAAAAAATAGACAGCAGTCATAGGTTATAGAACTCGTTGAGCTGTGTCGATTAAAAAAGAATGGTGGAAGCATTGCCACGGTAAGGTCAGTCTGCAGCTGTACCGGTAGATCAGGGTGTGCCGTTGCGCCTTTCATCATTCGCCAGTCCATTTCGGTAAACCCCTGCTGTACTTGATTAGCGAAACGGACTAGCAGGAACTGCCACGAGCCCTTGCTATCCCGGTGCTAAACTTTAATTCTCTCTCTTATTCTACAATTAATTTTCAAAAATAATTTTTTTAGATCACCATTCTTGTTCTAATCCAATTTTCATCCTCAAACATTAAATTCAATTCATAAATTACAGCAACCAAAAACATGTATTCCTGCATCTCACTCCTTGTAATATTTAAATCCTTATTTTCTTCCCTTTCTTCCCTTTCCGTGTCACTATCCTCTGGGGTTGATGCCGGACTTGATCTTCTAGAATTTTCAAATTCTTCTTCCTTTTCAGCCCCAGAAATAGTTTCTTGATTAATTTCAATAGCAAATTCCCTCAGCTTTGAGTCCAATTCCAAGCTAGACGAGCATTGTAGCCATATAGGGAATTGCTCAGCAAATTTGGTTACAAAATTGTTGTTAATCTTATAGTCTTCAAAATTCTCTTTTTTATTAGCTTCGTCTTTATTTTCATTTTTATTCTCTTCCTTTTGACTCAACAATGAGTAAAAGCTTGAAGGAAATGTTACTAATTCTATTTGATTCATTGCAGAAAACTGTTAGGGAAAAAATTTTTTTATTAAAACTTTTAGATTAAATATTCAATAATCTATTTTCTGGTTTAATTAAATCAAAAAATAGCCAAAAACTATCTATAGGCATCGAACCTGGCTCACCCAATAAGCGCAAGTCGAGCGCCTTAACCCCTACACTACAAGTGACGAGTTAATCCTTCTCAGCAACTAATCGGACCTCGCTTTCGATACCCCCTTGGGTCTGATTGTATCTTATAATGAGAGTATCTTAGATAGAGAGTGGCTTATAGTGAGAGGTCTATTAAATAGAAATTGGCTTATAGTGAGAGGTCTCTTAAATAGAGGTTGGCCTATAATGAGAGTATCCTAAATAGAGAGTGGCTTATAGTGAGAGGTCTATTAAATAGAGGGTGTCGCTTAGGCACCACCACCCCCCACTCCCTGGCCAACCAATCAAAAACTATCTATTAGGGATATCAAGAAATCCCTACCAATGCAGCAAGTGTTCTCAAAACCTCAATAGCCATTTTATCATTATTAGAACAACAACAACATTCTTCCAAACATTCAATTAGGTATAGCCAAAAAGAGTCTTTTCCAGAAGCACAGTTTAACTGTAAAAATTCCCCAAAAGAATTCTGATCAGTACAGCGACGTTTAATTAATCGGATAGCTTCTGTTCTTCGAGATATTGGAGGGACGAGTAATGCAGATCTCCACAATTCTTCAGTTAAAACGAAAATTTCATTTGGGTCAGAATTTACTGAGGAAAGGGCCAAGGGGGTAAACAGACGTAGAAGTTGCTCAACAACACTTAAAAATAAATTTGATAATAATTTCAAAAATTTACTGATTAAATGATCGTGCACTCTCCGCCCCTTCCAACGCAATTTTTGCTGTAGGCGATATAATTGCTGAAGAAGGAGAGTTTGTGTTGGAATTGTCTGAACTTAGTTGTTTACGTCCTACACGTGAAAGTAGAGAAGCTTTTGGAATAGGTGTAGAAGGGTCTGAACATTCTGGATTTGGAGAGCTTTTTCTTCCACTTGCGTGAAGATAACAAATTATTGCTGGTAATAATTCGCCTCTTTAAAATAAGAAAATTTAGTGGATTAACAATCAAAAACTCACTTATAGATAGACCCAATACTAGATACACCTCTATTTAACAGACGTTTTGTTAGAATATGGTAGGGTGGGAAGCTAGTTAAGCGATACCTTCTATCTAATGTACCCTCATTATAAGCCACCCTCTGTTTAAGAGACAACTCATTATAGGAATCCTCTGTTTAAGGACATTTTATTATAAGCTAACCTCTATGCAAAGTACCCTTCATTATAAGCCACCATCTGTTTAAGAAACACGTAATTATAGGAACCCTTTGTTTAAGGACATCTCATTATAAGTCACCCTCTATTTAAAGTACCCTTCATTATAAGCCACCCTCTATCTAATGCACCCTCATTATAAGATAAAGATTTTCAGCCCAGTATGTTCATAAATGAGTTACTTTATAGAATTAAAAAGCGGTCTGTGCCTCTCCAAGATTGAAGGTTCTAAAGCACTCAAAATACTAATTAAAGCATCCAATGGAAGCAGCAAAGGCTGTTGTTTCTGTACCAAATCATTTTCCTTATTATTCCCCAAAGCTCTTTCTACAGTTGATCTTCCAACCATTCTAGCAACCAATTCACTAATTAATGCTGTTATATCCATTCGAGCCCCAATATGTTCTGTCTGTTCCTCTTCTTCAAATGAAACTGCTAGACGATTTTGAACGTAAGAATTGAGAAATTGAGTGAGTGCTGCTCGAGCTGCTGGCCTGACACTGCTGGCATGTGCAGCAGCTACGGAAAAGACTTGCTCGCAAATCTAAAAGGAGTTTTTCTTGATATGGATAACTCAGACAGTTTAATAAGGGCCTCATATCCTAGCAAATAAATCAAGGTGGAATGATTGAGTAGTTTATAGTTCAGCATAAGAGAACTCTCAAGATCGTGTCCCAGGTGATCTTTTGATACTTTCTAGAATAGGGGCAGCTGCTTTTTTGAAATGACTTAGAACGAGAGTGAGGTCAAGGAAAGTCACTAGGTCAGATAGGGGCCTGTCTCAAAAAATCGAAAAGTTCAACGGTTGCAGGATTAGTTCCAACTTATTGAAAGTTCCACGGTTTTGGTTACCAGCTCCAAAACACTTCACAGACCCATAAAAACGCTGAAAACGATCCTATCGTTTTCCTACTTTTTCCTTGAATTATGTTTCTCACCTCAATACCATTCAACACATCCTTTAAGCCTATCGATATTTCTGTTGATGAGAGTAATTGGACTAAAACAGTTAATGCTTGGCATTGGTTAGAAGGCGATTCATGCCATTGAGGTATATCGAAAAGAAGTGAAATTAGCTGTTCGGCACGACTCTGCCCCTCCGGTGTGTGGTCTTCTGAGCCGAAATCGGCATTGTCTCGAAGAATAATCTTTAAAAGAGTTTAAATATGCCTGTTCAATTAACAGTGAATTTTAAGTATTTTACTTGTATTCCTTCAAAAGAAATTGCCGCTAATTTTGATCGTTTTGAAGCTAATGCAATGCTAAAACAATTAATGCAATTTTGACGTTTTTCAAATGGAGGGCATTGTGAAGGTGGTTCTTTTAAATTTTCTAAAGAAAAATTAAATGAAAATTCCTTATATGTATTTTTATTAGAGTTCGATATTTTCAAGGTTCCAGGCATGACATCAGGGTTTTTTGTTTTAAAATGTCCTGTAGCGGATTTTCTGAGTTAAAACCCCGAGACCCCAAAAATTCGGATTTTATCGAAATATTCGGTTTTGGAGCCCCTACTCAGGTCTGAACTATTAGTAGTGACAGGCAAAATCATTTTTCGGGCCCGGAAACCGGTTTTTGGATTTCACACTCATGCCGGACCGGATCCGGACGGATTTTTCCGAATTAATCCGGTCCGGTTTTACTCCGGAACTCTCAAAAAACCCCGAGGATTTGGGACAAAGGCTCCGGAAAATCCGGCTGGAGTCCATCCAGCGCCAGATCATAGTCTCTTTTTGCTAAAACCGATCCAGAGATGAATCGTCCTGTTTTTTAACTACACTCTAAATAGACTACATTGAACAGTCCCTTACACTGATTTTTAAAAAAATTTTTTATTCCCAGCTGATTTTTTTTATTTTTCCTTTTTTTAATTAAACAAACTTTTTGCTTGTTGAATAGATTCTAAAAGGCCGTTTATCGATTTCAAGTCAGGCTTAAAGAAAAATTTTTTTCTAGAAAAATTTAGGTCTTTTTTTACCTGATTTCCAAGTTTATTTAGCACCGTTTCCATTTAAATTTTAGAAGAATAAATTTATTTTTTTATTTATTTAAAGCTTTTGGTAAGTAAATGGCACACTTTTCACTTAAAAAATATTTGTAACATTGGCATGTCCTTTCTCTTTTTTTAGAAAAAAAGTGAAAGGATAGAGAAAGAGAATATTGAGAGATATGGAGGGATATGTATATTGGCCTTTGGGTTTTTCCTTTTTAGAAATTGTTTTTCTTTTTTATTTAACGAGAAAAGAGGGGGATATATACCAGAGGTGTTTCGAAACAAAAAAATCTTCGAAAATCGGAAATCGAAAAAAATCCAAAAATATCGAAATCGAAAATCGAAAATATTTTTCAAAATCTTCGAAATCGAAAATCGAAAGAAAAATAACCTCGAAAATCGGAAATCGAAAAACGAAAATCGAAAAAAAATTTTTAATAAGAAATTTGAAAATTAATTTTTGTTATGTTAGGTCTCAAGTGGATCTCTCATCATGAGATCTGTGTGGGTTAAGAGGGATAAGGAGGATTTGAGTAAAATCCCCTAATATAGTAAAGCAGAGCTAGGTCGCTTTACTCATGGTTGGGCGGTACCTGGCATAGGGTTCTGGCATGGGGAAGGGGGCTTCCAAATCCACCTTAATTCACGCAAATCCTCCAATATACTAGACTAACTTAATTAAAGCAAATACCAATAACCGGAGCCGAAGCATAATATTGTTAATAGATCAGGGCTTCCTCCAATTAGCGCCGCAGGCGAAAATTTTGAAAATTTTGGAAGATCCTTAAGCCAAAATCTTCTTTTTTCTGCGCCGCAGGCGAAAATTTTTTAAATTTATGATGGCCGATAAGCCAGAATTCCTCATTTTTGGCGCCAAAAATTCAAATTTTTTCAAAAATTCGGAAATCGAAAATCGAAAATATCACAAAATTTCGAAAATCGAAAATCGAAAGGAAAAAACCCTCGAAAATCGAAAATCGAAATCGAAAATCGAAATTTCGAAACAGCTCTGATATATACACGTTGTTATTTTTAATGAGAAAAGCTTGTTTAGTCCTAGCGTTGTTTTGAAATTTCGACTTTTAATTTCGATTTTTTTTTATTTTTTTTTCTACGTCCGATTTTTGAGGTCTACATATTTATTTCGATTTATTATTTTATTTTTCCTCTATTTTCTTTCATATTTTTTTTCTTTTTTCTAAAATTAATCAAAAATTTTTTTAAATTTAGATATCTTTTTTTTTTAATTTTAATCAAGAAAATGTTGGATTCTCAAAATTTAGAAGAAACGATTAAACAACTTCAAAGCAGCGGCATTCTGTTTTGTGTTGAGGTAATTTATAAATTTTGAAAAAAATTTTTTTTATTTTTAAAGTTTGTTGGATCAGTTATTGTGGAGAAATCAATTAATTCATTATCTGGTGATAAACAAACTCAATTTGCGAGGTTTTTAATTTAAACTTTGTAGAATATTTTTCCTTTAAAAATGGGGTGGTAATTTACTTTTGACTAAATTTTTAAAAAATTTTTGTCCGCAAAAAAATTTGCGGACAAAAATTTTTGTCCGCAAATTAATGGGATTACTGAAAAAATATTTTTTTTATTTTTTAGCTGAATTTAGATTTATTATTTTACCTTATATAAATTTAAATTATTTTTTTCGCATTCTCTCCTAAATATTTTAAAATTAGACAAATTTTTTAGCATTTCTTTATCCTCCCAAAAGTCCGCAATTTTTATTCACAAGTTTTATACCCACTTCGAGCTTCCAAAATATTTATTTTTTTTCCACTCTGAAATTTATTTTAAAGTTGTTTAAGCCCACTTAAGGCTTTTTTAACATATAATTTTTTTACAATTTCGAATTATTGTCAATTTTAAACTTGCGGACATAATTTGCGAATTTTTGGAAGCCTAAACATAAAAATCTCTAACTTTTTCAGGGCCTGTATGAAATTTGTGATTAACAATGTAGTCTCTTCTATTAAAATTGTTGAGGATGATAATGTAGATTTTGCAAAGGTTTTTTTTTGTTTTTTAATTCCAAAAAAATTTTTCAAAGTATCTCAATTTGCAAGTGCAATCCTTCAAAAACGATGTTGAATTAAACATTTCTTCTTCTGCTTTTATTATTATTGATACAACAAACATGCGGCCTTTGCATCGGTTTAATATTCAAGATATTTCTTTGTTTTCACCAGGGTTTGAGGTAAAAATTAAATTTTTTTTTAATTTGGGACATTTTGTCCACTTTGGGGGTTTTGACTTTTTTTGGGGGATTTTTGATAATTTTTATTTTTACATATTCCGGTTTCTAAAGCTTCTCAAAAAATGATTTTAGATGACCTAAGCTTTTCTTAGAAAAGTTTTTTTTTACATTTTACATTTTTCCACATTTTGCTCATATGGGATCAAATGTCGCTCTTCAGTCTCTTAAAAATTTTTGCTCTGTTTTAGTTTATTACTTAAGAGCTTTCCTATTCTTTTGCGTGAAAAAACATTTTTCAGGAATTTTCTACTTTCTTTTGTTTTTTCGCGAAAGACCAAATTGGTGATCAACCCCCTTTGAGAAGATGTTTTGTTTTTAATGCTCAAGAAGAATTGGAAGATGTTAGGGATGCAATATATTTTGCGTTTAAATTAAATGAACACAACAAAAAGAATTTTGTGGAAAATGGAAATAATTGTTTAAATAATTCAAGAAAATCTTCTAATGATTTTGGTAATGAATGTCCTGTTAGAGAAGATGATTCAAAGACGCCAATTCCTTGTCAAACGGTTTTTTTAATTTTTTGTAATTAAATGTACCTCAAAGGCTTCAGGTAAAGAGCAGGGATATCACGGATTGTGAAAAAAACGGGTCGGGTTTAGGTAGTTTTTCGGGCCGGGTTCGGGTCGAAAAAAGACCGACTGTTGATGTTGATATCCGCTGGTGAACGGAGGGAGTGTTAAGAATTTTATCCAGTAAGCCAATACTTCGCTGTCTTGTTATTTACAAACGCCACATTTAAGTTTTAAACAGGTAATAAAATAAAGCAGATTTTACCAACTGCCGCCAGACATAAAATCTGAGTTTCCAGATAGTTGTTAAGAAATTGAAAAATTTTTTTGTGTTTTTTCAGCCTCCAACGCCAATTTGCAATGAACAAAAATTTTTTGATACAAATTATTTGAATGGCAATAGTGAAGATAATACAATTAGTAATTTAAAATTAGCACCAGAATTACCTCCTCGTAAAAGCAGACATTCGTTAAGTGCTGATGTTTCTGCTTTGGTAAAAGTGTCAAAACGAGGAAGAAGCGGTTTATTTTTATACTTTTTAATTTTAGGATGGCGATAAAAATAAATGAGATATGTAATTGTAAAATTTACATATCTGTTATTCCGATAGCTTTAATCAATCTACAACACCTTGTAGGATTAGGAGGGAGTTGTTAAGAGGGTTAGGTTGTTACCAGGGGTGTCCGCAAGTGAAAAAATTTTCCGCGGCCGCTGTCCGCAAGTCCAAAAAACCACGCAATCCGAAATTGCGGACACCCCTGGTTGATACCTTTCCGTGCTCGAACGATGATATTTAGGCTAACCTTGGACCTGTGTCCGGGACTTGCTATTTTCAGACATCACCATTCCCCAACTCTAAAAATTAAAAAATATTTTTTATTAGAATCAAATTTTGCCGACGGTTCTTCTTTTCGTTTATCAATTGATCGTCTTCAAGAATTAACAACAGATTTGTCAAAACAAAAATGGTTTCATGGATTATTAACTCGTGAAGAATCGGATGCTCTTTTATGTGAAAATGGCCAATTTTTTGTTCGAAATAGTCCGTCAAATCCAAACAGATTTGTTTTGGTTGGAATGCATAATGGAAAAGTTGTACATATTCGTTTACTTAATAATGAAGGGAAGGTTTGGAAATTTTTTTATTTTTTGGAAAAATTAAATAAAGGAAAATAGGCGTTAATTAGGGAAAGGAAGGGTATTTGGGTCTTATTTTTATTTGTGGGGGCCCAAAAAATTTTTTTTACCGATGCTGGTTTCATTTTTACTTCTTTTTTCCTATTATCCACAAAATAAAAATTGTTTTCCGCCAATAGGGTTCGAACCCTCGACCCTTTTTGGTTATTGAACTAAAAATTATCCCACTGCACCAAAGCAGCAACTAGTTCAAAAATTATTTGACTTGGGTAGGTTAGCCCTCACTTTCCTTTTTAAAAAATTTTTTTAACCTTTTTTTAAATAAGAATATTTTTTTTTAAATTTTTAAAGTTACAAACAACAGCTGGAGAATTTAAAAATATTGTTAATTTTATTAATTATTTTTATCATTCTCAATTACCTGTAATTGTTGATGAAAAATCTTCTCCAATTCTTTTACATTTTCCTATTAATCGACGTTAACAAAAAAGAATTTATTTTGAAAAATTTTTAATTTTGTGATATTTTTATATATATAAGGGTATATTTTACCTCTAAAGAAGAACAGAAAAAAAATTTCTTAAATTATCTACCTAATTTTTTTTTAATTTTTTTTTGTTGCTCAATTAATTTATAGTTATATTAAATAGTAGAGATCGGCCTGGGTCTGAACCAAGGCCTGGGTTTTTCCTGTACCCAGAGTCCAGGTCCAGGCATTTTTTGACCTTCCTGGGTTTTTCCTGGACTACAGGCCCAGGATCCAGTCTAGGTCAAGAAATCAAACTTCAGAGTCTAGGATCAGGTCCAGGCTTTTCAAAATTTCCGATCTCTATTAAATAGTACTACCTAATAAATTTTGTATTTTATTTAATATTTTTTTTCATTAAATAATTATTAGTAATTTAATAAATTTTGTTATTTAACAAGATGATAAAATAAATTTTTTTGGGTTTTTTAGGTCGGGACTGTGGTAGATGTTGGTTGGAAATGCTGGAGAGAGGTGTATTGGAGCACTAAAACTACTGATAAATTTAAAAGACTACCTAATTAAATTACAAAGAAAACTACATAGTTTAATGTTGGAACAGCAGAATTTTAGAATTCTGGGATCTGTATTGCTAACAGAAAAAATGCAAAGGATGAGAAATTCTGGGCAGGATGGCATCTGTGAGTTTTTATTTTAGATTAAATGTAAAAAATAATAAATGTTGGGGTTGGCGTTGACCTAAGTTTTCGGTTTCAGTTCTCCGATTATATTTTTTCATCCACTTAAAAATACTATTTTTACGGGGTTTGGAGGGGCACCGTTAATTTTTTTTAAATAATGTCAAAAAAATTTTTCTATTTTAAAAACTGAGTAGGCGTTATATAAATATACATATTAGTAAAATAAGAGCGTTAAAAATAAATTTATTACAAATATCCTATTTTTTAATATTTTTACAAAAATTATTTTTATAAATTTTACTAAATCTCTCCTTTTGTTGCAGACATAAGGAATGTGTCTATAAATATTTAAAAAAGATTCCCCTCTTCATAAAAAAATAATTTTTTTCTTCTTTCAAAATTTTTCAAAAACACTTTATTTTTATTAAAAAATGATGCTTACACATATTCATTCTCTCACTCATCTTATTAAAAAAATAAGAAAATCTCTTCTAGTTTTTTTTTCCTTCAATAAAATAAAAAGCTAAATGACTACTATTTTACAAATATTTTTTTAATATGTTTATATTGGAGCTTTTTTAATTTAAAAACTGTTTTTGCGTTGAGCATTTCTTATTTATTTTCGTTCTGTTTTCTATAAATGACTTTTTTTTTGTATTTTATATAAAAACTAGCGAAGGTGCTCGCCCTTCGGGCGAGCTCCTCCGCTAGCCTAATTCCAAATCATAAAACTTAAAAACCAAATCAACTCATTTACAGATATTCTTTTCCATTGTCTAAAACTTTTTCCTATCCTTTGTCCTTTCTATGAAAAGCACTTAAACTATCAAATTTATCTAAAAACATTAATAAACATTTAAAACTTTATATTTCAATAAATTTTAAAAACATCATAAAACGTAAAACAAAAAACAATCAACAACACATAAATATTTGGGAAGACTGTGTAAAAAACTAACAAAACAAATGTTGAAATATTGCATGATTTGAAAATAATAGTAATATTATGTACAAATTTTACAACATTCCAGCATTCTTTTGCTAGTTTCGTAGAAAAACAATACTCAAATAATTTTTCTTTTTTTAAATAAAATAATCATCCTCTTATATCTTCATCTTGTTTTTTTTCAGCTTGATTTTGAGCCGTTCTGACTGTAAGTCCCATGACAATCTTTGATATCATCCAAAACAATTTATATATTGCTTCTCATTTTGAAATTTGAAACTAAAATTTCAAACTTATTTACAATAGAATTTAATTATTTTGATTTTCAACTATTAACTATTAACCAACTTTCTAATATTAACTTTCAATTATGATTCAACTATTAACTATTAACCATAATTCAACTATTATCTATTAACTATGATTTAACTATCAACTATGATTCAACTATTAACCATGATTCAACCATTAACTAAGATTTTCAACTCTATTCAAGGAATTTAGCTTTTTTATATAAAACAATATTCACTTTATCTTCATCTTTTTTGTTTTTTCCAATATTTTCACAACTTGATAGTTTGAATTCTCGCTCGTTGATAATTTTCAAAACTTAATAGTTGATAGTTCAGACAATCTCTTCAAAACTTGATAGTTGCTTAAAATTAAATATTAGAATTTAAAAAAATTTATATTACCTTTGGTGTCTCGAACTGTTCATAATTTGTATCAGCAAATCCAAACATTAGTACAATCCAAACATTTTTTTCATGAACACTTAAGTCTTTTCTTGTTGTTCATTTATAATAACTATAACTAAACTATTAACTAAGATTTTTAACTTTCAACTATTAACTATTAATATCATTGCAACTATTAACTCAATTTTCAGCTATTAACTATTAACTCAATTTTCAGCTATTAACTATTAACTCAATTTTAGCTATTAACTATAATTTAACTATTAACTAAGAAAAACTTGTATTACCTTTGGTGTATCGACATGTTCATAACTTGTATCAGTTAATCGAAACATTAATTCACTCCAAACATTTCCTTCACGAACTCTTGTCTTTTCTTGTTGTTCAGTTATAAAAAATGGCTCAATAGTATTTATCTTAAATTATAAAATATATAAGGTTTTTTAAATAAATCTACCTTTTAGATTGGAACAATCTCTAAATAACTCAATTCTAAATCTAAATCATATTCTAAATCTAAAAACTAATCTCTATCATCTATTACTTCTCTATACACTACATTCATTACTTTTCTCTCGTTATTAGTTTCTAATAACCTAATTCTTAAAGAATTCCAAGATCTAACCCTCGAAAGGGCCACGTACAATTGACCATGACTAAACACATCTTTGGTCAAATCTATTCCTAATCTTTCTAATGTCTGCCCTTGGGCCTTATTTACAGTCATAGCAAAGGCTAACACCAATGGGAATTGGTGCCTATGCAAATCAAATGGGTACTCTCCATCACAACACAGAGTGATGCGTGGGATATACACCATCTGACCAGCTCTATCTCCAGTCAGAAGTCTACAAACTATCAGGTTTGGTCTCATTTCTTCGACCAATATTCTAGTTCCATTACACAGGCCATTTTCTATGTTCAAATTTCTAATCAACATAACTATGGCATATTTCTTTAATCTTAACTCATGTAATGGAAACCCATTTGGGCTCAATGAGTTCAAATACTCGTCCAAATACTCGTCTAATATTTGCTTTTCTTCATTCTCAGCTTTGTCTATGCTCTTGTACAACGTTTCGTTGTCAGGAAGCATATTCAAAACTCTATTATTCAAGTCTCTCACGTCGACATTTTTCGGCGCAACAATAGCCATATTGGCCATCTTATTCCAATCATTATCTATAATAACGTTTCCAAAGATCTCTTCAGCTAAATCACCGTTACTAATAACATCCAGTGGTAATACCAACTGGTCAGTATCAATATTCCGCTTTCCGGAACCAATTTCTAATAAGTCCATAGCAAATCTTTTTTCATTTTCTAAAGCTCTCATATTCTTAGTCAACTTGAACTTCCTTACAGAAGCCCAATATTGACTTCTTTTTACTGTCAAATCACAAATCTCGGCTCTAGTGGCATGCTTCTGGATTGGCAAAGTCTGGCGAAAATCGCCTGCCATCAGCATAATTTTGCCACCAAATTCTATACTATTATTCATAATCTCTTTCAATTTCAAATCTATAGTTGATAATGCTCTTTTATGAATCATTGGTGCCTCATCACAAATGAACATATCAACATTTTTCAATTCTTCCCATGCTCTTGAGCTTGGGCCAATTTTCGAATTGCTCATATCTAAATTCAAACCAAATCTATTATGCAATGTTCTACCTCCTGGTAAAAGCGTTGCCGCAATACCAGTATAGGCCATATTACTAATTTTCTTATTCATTCCTCTAATCAAATGGACAAGTGTACAAAGTACAAATGTCTTTCCTGACCCACCTGGTCCACTGAGAAAATAGAAAGCAATTTTCCCATCTGGATTGGTGATCCTATTCAAAATCTCATCTACTATTTCTCTTTGCTCGTCGTTTAGTAGCTCGTAGCTACGACGACCTATATCTAATTCTTCAGCAACATTAAATTGCTCTTCAATACTATTTACTTGGTCTAAATCTAAACAATCTAGGTGGTTAATACCATCTAGTTGTTTCATAGTAGGAAAATCAGCAATTGATTTACCTGCTTCTAATATTCTTTTTACTATATCTATATACGCTTTTATATATGCAAGTTCAATACTAAGATTTTTTGCAAAATCCTCTGACAAAGCATCCTTGAACAAAGCCCAAAGTTCTTCGGGTTTTGCAGGGTTGCAATGCACTAAAATCAAGGCAAATAACTCTCTCAATTTCCAAGGCATTTCGAAGTTGTTAGCTTCT